TAAACTCAAGCCAGCCATTCCCTGTGATGTAATACCTGGGAATGCAGGAATTTCTGAATTCCACCCCAAGCAAGGCCTTTCTCCCAGTGGGAGGACTCAGCACGGCCCTCAGCAAGGACAGCAGCACAATGAGCCTGGTAACTGCAGCAAGGAGGTTCTCCTCCACATCTGAGGATAAATAAAGAGAGGCTGGAGCAGCACCAACACCTTTGCTCCAACAATGGGAGCATGAGTCACTCCTGGCTTTCCTTACTTTTTCACTTACATGCCACAGCTAATACCCTGCTGCAGCGTTTCAGGGATGTTTCAGAGCCGCTCATTAACACCAGATCTCTGTTTGTAGCTGCACCTCTGACCATATGAACTATTAAAGCTACTCCAGGACTGCTCAAACTTACCCCAAGAAACTGCAAAAGGAGCCAAGCAAAATCCCCTTCAACCCTGGTGAAAGCAGCGTGGGGCACAGACACTATCAAGCGCAAGGGCAGAAACACCAGAACTGCCATCTGCCAGTACAACGTCCTTGGACTCTAACTCCTGCAATCACTGTGTTCACAAACACTCTGAACGGGCAAGACAAGGGCACAAAGGTTTCCAAGAGGAATTCAACCAAAATACGCCGATGCTACAGCAGCACCACCCTTGTCCAAGGGGAATACAGTGAACAGAGCACGCGTCAGCCAGACTGATGGGCTCTGGAATGAGCCATGTAAAAGGTGCACTGAAGTGCCAGACATCACAGACACAATGTGTCTGGATGGAGAGTTGTAACTCCACAGGGTACCCCACGGAATCCTAGAATGGTTTCTGTTGGAGGGACCTTAAAGCTCATCCAGTCCCAGCCCCTGCCACAGGCAGGGACACCTTCCACTAGAGCAGGTTGCTCCAAGCCCCTGTGTCCAAGCTGGCACATGGATGGAGAATAAGAGATTAAAGGGATGGGAAGTGAGGGTATTTAGCAGAAAAACAGAGGCTATTTCCTTTATAAACTGACCTTGCAACATGAGAAGACACCATGTAGTGACTGAATGATACATTTCTAAGTGAGAAAACCCTTTCTGATGATCTTACCTAATGGGACATTGGATTTGGTTGCCACTGGGGAGCCAGGCTGGAGCAAGGCTGCCTGCTGCAGGAAACAGCATGGCAGCTGGGACAGGAATTCTGCCCCTTTCCTTGGAATAGCAGGAGTCCTCACTGCTGAGACCACAGCGGCCACAAGGTGTTAAAGTGCTCGCATTTCTCCATCACCTGCACATGGCTCTGAACTCCACCAGGTTCA